CTTGTTAGTTGCAGCAGTGACACATCTGTGTTTTGAGCACCTTACTGTGTGCTATCTCGTCCACACAGAGTTCTTAAACTGGATAGTATTTTCCCCTTTTACAGATGAGGAAGGGAAACTGAGGCCAAGAGAGGTTCAGGCACTTGTCCCAGGTTACAAGTAAGTGGCAGAGCTGGGATCTGAGCTCAGGTCTGTCTGGCTGCAGTGCGCCGTGCCCCTGAACACCGAGACAGCTGTGCTGTGTTGCCGGCAATTCCTAATCTTCACGAAGGCCTTTCACTGGGGTCTGCCTATCCAACCTTCTTCTTAGAGTTTGATTTTATACACACTTCTTTCACTGTCTCTAAACCATTGCACTATTTGGGACAAAGCAACTGACGCACTAGTAGCTGTGCGTGTGCATTAGTTCTAAAGATCTGCTGGAGCCCACGGAAGATAGACTGAAGAAGCTTTTATGTTTCTGTTAATTTACGTCTTGACAGTTGGGATGAACCAAATCCTTTTAGATGTAAGAAAAACTTTTCAGTATTCCAATACATAATTTTTGATCAAAAATTAAGTTTAAAAGTATTAGTATATGACTCATCATTTTTTCTACAGATAAAGAGTTCTATTTGTCTTCTACGGGGGAAAATCTATGATGCGCTAGATAATCGAACTCTAGCGACCTACAGCTACAAAGAAGCTTTGAAGCTTGATGTCTACTGTTTTGAAGCATTTGATCTTTTAACATCACACCACATGTTGACAGCACAAGAAGGTTTGGAAACGCAGGTGTTTTATGTTTAGCAAAATTAATATTGTTAGGATATTTTTCCTCTGAAATCTATATAATAATCAAGAGCAGGCTATGTACAGGTTTAAATAGACCTAATAACTCTCTTAATGTCTTCAAAAATATGAAGCACATTGCAAAATGCAGTGTTGTGCAGTGCCTTTTGCTATCCAGATCTTTAGGATTTGGGATGTGATGCAGCCATCCTTTCGGAATGTGACTGAGGTAGTATAAACCAAGATTTGAATATCTGATTCAGTGATTCTCAACCTGGCTGCACATTAAATCCCTGAGGAGCTGGGGCTCACAGCTGTAATCCTAGCACTCTGGAGGCTGAGGCAGGAGGATCGCTTGAGCCCAGGAGTTCGAGGTTGCAGAGAGCTATGATGATGCCACTACACTCTAGCCTGGATGACAGAGGAAGACACTGTCTCAGAAAAAAAAACCCAAAAATCATCAGTGTCAAACCAGTTAAGTCAGAACCTTCAGGGTGGGGCTCTGTCGTCAGATGGTTTAAAACTCCCTGGTGGTCCTAACATACAACGGGGACTAAGAACCAGTGTCCAAATGTGTTGGCATCCATGGTAATGTGAGGTGAGTAAACGAGAACCAGAAAACAGGGTGGTTGAAAGAAGGGGAGTCAAACATATTTTATTTTATTTATT